TATCAATTTTCTTCCCTTTTCTCTTTATTGCGGTATATATATATATATATATACATACACTTTGGACATTTAGTTTATTCTGCGCATTTAATGTATGTTTAATATTATGCAAATTTTCGAATATCTCTAAGGAAAGGGGTGGGCTGTTATAACAATATATAGTGCACAAGTTTAAAAAAAAAAAGCGGATCATCCAGAGTAATTTTTTATCAAATGATCGAATCTTCACATTTTAGGACTCAAGATTAAAGGTTCGAGGGTATGACTTCAGATTTGTTAATTAATTATTCACTCTCTCGAACCTTTAAAATTGAGTCCTACAACATGAAAAACCCATCATTACATAAAAAGTTATTCAGGGAGATCCGGTTTTTATTTTGTTCACTGTACATCTTGATATGCATTATGCTATTCTAATCTACCTAAAAACTATTGCTGTTATTTTTCATTATATAAAAAATTATACTATTTTATACCAAATTATACCATTTTATACCAAAATTATACATTTTTTTTCATTTTTATCATGATATAAATTATACCATCACTTTCTATACCATTAATATTGGTTATCATTTTATCCAACACTTTGAAGGTGTAAATTAATTGCTATTTGCATGTAAATAAGTTAAGTAATCAAATACAAACACGTAGTTTATTTGATTACTTAAAGCTCTTTTTTAATGGAGTGGGATTATTGACCACCTAAACATGGATGGTTACCGCAATCTGGAAAGCATGGTCTATGTAGTTTTGTCAGAAGAGCAGTCTAAAGTTCTTGTTCCTTATTGTTATTAGTTATTAATTTTTAACATTTGACTTTTCTTAGAAAATCACTAACTTTTTGCACATATCTAATTTGTTTATCAGAAGATACATCCGATACATACAGAAGATAAATATTTATTTTTCACATTTTTTTGCTATAATTACCAATTTTGAATTGAAATAGAGAAAAATTTTCTCATAATTTTAACTAACATAATATAAAGTAACAAAACGTGAACAAAATGTTTTTGAGAAATAAAGAAACTATACCATCAAATTTTGACACTTAAAATTACGTTGATAAAAATGCTGTATTTTTTCTGTCCATTATTAAACTTTAACTCAGGAATAGTTATTAATTATGTTTAATATTTATAATAAAAAATAATTTTTGCTATTAAAATTATTTTCTCTTGTAATCTTTAAATAAGTGAGTTCAATAAATGTCTATTCAATTCTCATCGATAAGAGTTTTGCCTCTTAATGTTAATTTCACTATTGAGGTATTTATTAGAAAATTAACATTATTTTAGAAAATACATTTGGTATTTTCAAGATTCCTACTATCCATATTTTGGTGGAAAATTTTTTTAATCAGTTGAAAAACATTTATGGTTACTGGAAGAAAATATGTTTTTTTACTGATTTTGCACCTTAACCTTACTTGGCACCATTTAAACTTTTAAAGAATAGTGTTCAGTACGAGAAAATTCGCTTATTAAACCAAGATATTCAATGTTTTTTTTTCTCACTGTACAAGGTGCAATTTGGCCGAAAGCAACTCCCTGAAACGCAACTTTTAAGATTTTTCCTCTGAATTTAACTAATTGAATTTTAATCCATGCACAAAAGTTAATTTAAGATGTTTTATTTACTGTCCATAAGTCCCTTGAAAATGCAGTTAGTAAAGTGTTTAAAATTGAAAAATATTTCTTAAAATATTTTTTAAAATGATACTTGAGATTTGCTTGATATTAAGTATCACATTATTATTGTGAGAAAATATTATCAAAACAAAATGAAAAAAAATGCATTTTATGAGGTGATAAAATACGAAACTACTGCCCTGATAAAGAGGAGACAAATTTCGCTATTAATGTTTGCATGCTAAGCTTAATCTAGCAAAATTCAAAAGAAGTACAAAAAAAATCGTTAAATTGTCTTTGCTTTTTAATTAACAGAACAGAGGCAGTACCTTACTGTAACATCTCATAAAATTCTAACTTAAACATCATTACTTGAATTTAAGAAACAGAATAAATGAACGGTAATAAAGCAGAATAGAAAAATGGGTACTTTAGTTTTAGAAGAAAAAAATTCATAAATTCATCAAATATGGCTACACTTTATTTTCTTAAAAAAAGTATACATATAGATGACTGTAAATTCATATCTACGGATAAGATCAAAATATATAAAGCTACAAATATAATTTAAAAATTAGCATTCATCCATAGATTATCCATAGCAAAACATATTCATAGAAAAACATAAATTCAAAGCATGTGTTGTGGAATCGAAGAATTAAGGTTAAAAAAAGGCATAATGAAAAAAAACAGTTGTTAATAACTCACAGTAAAAGTTATTAAATGCAATAAGCAGGAATTATATCAGCACACAAATAGAGAATCTTAGCTGAACATAATAAAAAAATTCTTCCACAGTTAAAACTAAACAAATACTGCACTTTTTACAAAAGTATTGTCTGTATATTGACATATATTCATCTGCAGGTCATATTGTAGATTCAAAAATGCTCATCATATACCATATTTATTAATTTAGAAGAATCAATTTCAGCTTTACTATCTTAAACAAGTGATAATAATAATAATAATAATAAAATACTCAGAGATTTAATTATTACTCAACAATTATATTACACTAAAAGTTTTTTTAGAAAAATATTGATAGAAAAATAAAAAATTTTTTTGAATCTAAGATTTAACCTGAAATAAGTCAACATCAAAATAGATTATTTCCAAAATTAACTATTATCATTTATTAAATAAGACTCGCTTTAAGTTTAACACTCAATCTAACTTAAAAAAAAATATGTTTAAAAAATCATAAATTCAAAACATGTGTAGTAGAATCGACGAATAAGATTAAAATAAAGGAAGCAATCTTAAAATAATTTTAAAAAAATCACAGTTACCATTATCAAATGCACTAAACATGAATAAAATCAGCACTTAAAAAGAGAATTTCAGCAGAACATAATAAAAAATTCTTGCATAGTTAAATCTAAACAAATGTTGCACTTTTACGAACGCGTTGTCAGTACTTTCATGTACCCTCATCTTCATGACACATTGCAGATTACAAAATGTTCACCATCTTCTTGAGTTCCTAAACATTCTATTATTAAAGCGACGTTTCTGGTCAGCTACTGATGGAATAACAGGCCATGCGTGAAGATGAAAACATTCCTCACCAAAGGGGCAAATTCCTTTACCGTTTTTGAAATATTTACAACGTTTCGTGCTCAAAGACTTTCTATAGTCGGCAATTAACATCTCCTTTTCCCCTTCAGAATGAGCCCATTTCTTACTGGGTATGTAAAATCTACACGGCACTCTACATTCGGGACAAGCACGAGTAACAGCAGGATCTATTAGATCTTCTTCATGAGAATTTCGCACATTTCTCCACTTAATGATGCAGGATAAACAAAACACGTGATTGCAATTCTCGAGAATACCAAATCGACGCTCTGCAACTCGTTCTTTTTCCATTACGATATCCAAACATATACCACATGACAAATCGCGTCGAATATCAGTATCTCGCTCATGCCTACAGACTGCATTATGAAGTCCTCGCTGCTTCTCATCAAAAGGATCTAAGCAATATCTTTGACACAGTTCACATAACTCCCCATGGATGCATGGGCAATCGTCGAATGGGCAAATACCATCAAAGAAATGCGGGCAGAATTCCATATCCAACTTTTGTGGCTCTGAACTATCAACACCGTCATTTGAATTCGAAGCAGTGGCTAAATATTTGCTGCTTGTTGGCACGAATTCAGGTGCATTTATCCAGTCGTGTAATTCTGATTCACGACAAAGAGATGCCTCACCATTTAAACTAGTGTTGAAATTTTGAAAATTTCTTTCGGCGGGAAAAATATCCATATTCCCTGTCTGTTGCTGTAAATGACCAGTATTCTGCTCTTCACTGCAAGGTTGAGATATATAATAAACATCATCTTCAGCTTTTGGATGAGAATACCAACAATTATCACCAAACATGCAAATGCCTTTCAAAGAAAAACGGCAGACGATATTTTCACGAAATCTAGGCGTCTGTCTAAAATTGCACCTATTACCTTCTTGGCAAGAAGAATTTAAATAATACGGGCGCACTAATTTCGTCATATCTAGTGGTGCGCTTTCAGCCATTTTATATAATACTTAATTCACTTTCACCTTTGCTAGTGATAACAACCAACTATGGAGTAATAAAGTATAGTGCACTGGGGGAGATAGTGTACAACAGAGGGCGTGTCTATTCTGATGACGTGAATATAATCATTTCGGAGCAAGGCGTATGATTGGTTATCTACAAACTCTTCCTCTTATGGTAGGAGGCCATCATTGCGCATGCGCAAAGTGAACCCATTTCGATCGTCTCAGATGCCATTTGTGAAATAAAAAAAATCTTTCTATCGTTTTAATTTTATTTAACCTTTTTTCTATTTTATTTAATGTTAATATTTCATACTTGGTTTATGCAAGTGCTAATATAAAAAGATAAATAATTTGCATTTTTGAATCAAAGCAAATTGCGCTTAATAAAATTCACATAAATATTATAAATAAATAGTTTACATCATCTATAAAAGTGTTTTTTAAAGATGGCAATTTTACCATTTTTTCTAAAAATATTTAAATTCTTTTCTTTTTTTTCGATAATTGAATACAAGTGATCTATTATGAATAAACTGTCATTAATGTTGAAATAAAGCATAACCTATTTGTGCTGAGAGTCAAGTTAAATTTGCTTTTTTATGAAATCGAAAGAAGTACTAGCACAAATGATTCATTGCTAAGATTTATTTTGCGAAAACAAGGAAGTTTTGCCTACCACACTGTATAATATAATATAAACAGATCTGAAGTAAGCCACATTACTTTTTTTAAGTTAAAGTGGAAACCAACAGAAAGAAATATGCACTTAGTACAAACAAATATGTATTATCCCTTATTTCAGATAGTAGTTTTACATTCATCGGTCTCCATAGGTTTTTCATACATAGTTTGCGCATAAATGGTTGAATTACTCACATTTGAAAGTATACACTTTAGCATTTGCACACACTCACCAAGGTATTAGATAATTTTGATTAATATTTTATGCATAGGGAATAACCGTGCATTTTCCATAAAGATTTTAAGATCCGTTAAACAATGCAAACAAGGCAAGAGCCACGTTCCTAACTCATAGAACAGCATTTGTATTTTAAATAAAAATTAGAAATGCATGTTATTATAATCAATTTTCTCTAAGTAAATTGAATTGAATCAGATTTCAAATATTATTACATAATGAAATTGCTGGCAATGCTACACTGTAAAAAATATCGTATCAAATAACGGTAAAAAGTACCGGCACTCACCGTGCTGTTTTTTTTTACCGTAAAATCTATTTTTACCAGAAAATGTTACGGATCAGAGAATCTAATATACCGTAATTTTTAGAGTAATAATTACCGTAAAATTACTGAATCGCTCTAAATAAATATTGCTTTCAAAATTGCGGTATATATAATATTTTACGGTAAAATGGTTTATGTATGACGAAACTGCTGGCATTTTATACTGTAATTTGATCCGCAATTTTTTACAATGTAGCACTTTTGTTTGAACTTCTTATATTTACGAAGAACCTATTTGAGAATAAAATGAAAATAAAGGCTTGTTGAATGAAATAATCTTGCTATGAAACACGAGTAGCGTGCTTTAATTTTGAGAAGTCTTTCTAACAAACTTTTGATGATAAAACGTCATTCGACAGTTATATTAACTGTTAGAATTCGCTTTGTTGGATTAACAAAACCAACTCATAATAATTTTTTAATTCTTCTATTGATTTTTCTCAAAATTGTGAAACGAATAAAATTATGCGGTTTATGGTTATGAGTGAGTAAATTAAAATTACACATTTGCCTGTTTTCAGATTTTTTTAATTTTAATTTTATTAGTTTAAATTTATGAAGACCAGTTCGGATAAAGTTTAATTTTTTAATGTAAATTAATTAAAAATAAATATGTTTACCAAAAATCTAAAAATATATAATACTGTTATTTGTGTTGCTTATCCCCTTGGCCTAGACAAACTAAATCAAATTCAAAAGGCCCTGTCGCACAATTAAATCCAAAACTATATCCCCTCCATTCAACAGCTGCCCCACAGAGGTACCAATGCAGTCTTAGATATGAGAGGGAAAAGCGATGGCAGAGCAGCATAAGTCTTCTCATTTCCGTTAAAAATTAGGCTTTTAATGTGACTGACTAGTCCTTAATGTGATTGGACCAGATATAGTTTGTCTACGGTAAGAACTCCCCTCCCGAAACAAAGTTTGAGGCCGTCTGCTGCTATTGAAAAAAGAATAGCTCATTTTAGGGAGGGTAGCATCTCTTCACTCTATGACTAACATTATGGAACGAAGAAAGAGATTCCCTTTCTATCACAAACCCGAACCAAAGCCTTTAAAACGAGAGCCATAGCGGTGGAGCTTTTTAACATTGTATTAACCCGTACAGCATATGAACTCGCAGAAATGTAACAAATACATAACAGTTAGGAAGATACGTAGCGAAATTCTGAAAATGATAATAAACATGTTTCTGAAACATCGAGAATGAAATATTATAAAAAGGTGCTTAGAGAAACATTTCTGTGACATCCCGTTTGAAATATTTCGAAGCAAAAACAATTCCGCAACTACTTTTCTTATAAGCTTCCTCTGTGCGTGTGCAACACGTAAAATGATGTCTTATCCCTCTTTTGTTGGGCAATAAGTGACACAGGATGGAAAGGAACTTAATTAAAAACAAGGGCAATTAATTTCTTTTAATTCACTAGTTCGTAAATTTTTTACTTTGAACTAGAATATCAGAACTCAGTTGATAGTCCTGATTATTTCGTAGTTAGAAGGATGTTATACATAAAACAATCAAAAAGTTTATTGATTTGAAATTGAAAAAAAAAATTCATTTAAATTTATTTATTACATTAAACTTTCAGATTACTTCCAATATTAATTCATGAAAAATTTCTATATTTAACAAGGTCATATTAAATTGTGAAATATAATATTTTTATTTTATTCTTCACACTTAAAAAGTTACCTATCTTTAGGTTTATAATTTAGCAAAATATTTTTTTTCTCCCACCAATAATACTGATACCCTTGAAAAAGTTAGTCGCTCATTAAAATATTTTCTGCTATTTAACAAGCATGAGTGATTTCAAATTCTTATTTTCTAGCTTAATCCTGTCCCTGTAACATGCAAATCAAGTAATTTTTAATAGTTTAGGTTGCCAATTGTCACTTTTGATGGATAATCCGACTAGGTTATTCACCATGTGCTACTGATACCCTAAGAAAGAATGTTTGAGACTATTCATTATCTCCAACAATGCTTAATAGTGTCACTTGACAATACTTCCCCAGAAGATAAGCAGCAATTTTCTTTTAAGTGACAAATTCTTTATTATCTTTTGAGAAGTTATCATTAACAAATTTTCAAGGAATGAAAATACAATTCAAAAATATTCTATTAGACGTTCTGACATTTCTATTGAATATCTTCTTTATTCTCTAAGAAATGTTATCACTTTCTGAGAACCCCGATGATACCAGTTTGAATACCCTTCAGAATTGAATATTTTCAAAAAAGCAGATTTTCAAGATCCCATTAGATGAATGCATTCGGTGAAATCGTAAGAGGATGCCACACCCCACGGGAGAATCTTTTCATTTCAAATTATTTTTCACCTTCAGTACTTACTTAAAACTTAAAAGAACGAAAAAGTAAGTTCAGACAAACCTAGAGTAAGTCGTGAAGTTTCAATAGCTCAAAAAGTACTTCAAAATATTAAAATGTAAATAAAATATTAGACGAGAACTTCTCCGTTGCGTAATCCTTAGTTATCATCTCATAATTTATTTTCATTTGCATATTTTAAAATTTTCTTTTCAGTATTTGAAACTTCATGGTTTACTCTTTGGTTTGTCTAAATCCACCTTTTTCAACATTTTAAATTAGTAATGAAGTAGGAATAGAATTTGCGACGAAAATTTTCTTCCGAGATATGGCGTCTTCTTAAGAGGATGCCACACCGAGGGACAATCTTTTCGTTTCAAATTCTATTTCACCTCCATTACATATTTCAAGTGCAGAAAAAGTCAGTTCAAACGAACCTAATGCAAGCTATGAAGTTTCTATTGCTAAATATTTTTTAAAAGAATATCAAAATGCAAACAAATTCTTGAAAGAGAACTTCTCCATTGCGTGGTCCTAAAATATCCTCATGATTTTCATTTTGATGTCCTAAAAATTTCTCTTCAGTACTTGAATCTTCACGGCTTTATCTAGGTTTGTCTGAACTCACTTTTTCTATCGCTTTAATTTTAAATTAGTTATGAAGGTAAAAGAGAATTTAAGACGAAAAGTACTTGTAACTTCANCAAATTTTTTATTATCTATTGAGAAGTTATAATTAACATTCAAAAATTTTCAAGGAATGAAAACACAATTCAAAAATATTCTATTAGACGTTCTGACATTTCTATTGAAAATCTTCTTTATTCTTCAAGAGATGTTATCACTTTCTGAGAACACCAGAACCTCATTCTCTATGCATCATTGATGATACAAGATTGAATACACTTCAGAATTGAATATTTTCACAAAAGCAGATTTTCAAGACCCCATTAGATGAATGCATCTGGTGAAATTTTAAGAGGATGCCACACCCCACAGGAGAATCTTTCCGTTTCAAATTCTCTTTCACCTTCAGTACTTACTTAAAATTTAAAAGAACGAAAAAGTAAGTTCAGACAAACCTAGAGTAAGTTGTGAACTTGAAAATATTAAAATGTAAACAAATTATTAGACGAGAACTTCTCCGTTGCGTAATCCTTAGTTATCATCTCATAATTTATTTTCATTTGCATATTTTAAAATTTTCTTTTCAGTATTTGAAACTTTATGGTTCCCTCTAGGTTTTTCTGAACTCACTTTTTCTACATTTTAAATTAGTAATGAAGTAGAAATAGAATTTGCGACGAAAAATTTCTTCCGAGATATGGCGTTCTCTTAAGAGGATGCCACACCGAGGGACAATCTTTTCGTTTCAAATTCTATTTCACCTCCATTACTTATTTCAAGTGCCGAAAAAGTGAGTTCAAACGAACCTAATGCAAGCTATGAAGTTTCCATTGCTAAAATTTTTTTTTAAAAGAATATCAAAATGCAAACAAATTCTTGAAAGAGAACTTCTCCATTGCGTGGTCCTAAAATATCCTCATGATTTTCATTTTGATATCTTAAAAATTTCTCTTCAGTACTTGAAACTTCACGGCTTTATCTAGGTTTGTCTGAACTCACTTTTTCTATCGCT